TTGAGTTCTAAACGGACAGACCCTAAGCCACTCATGAATTCTTCCTCTTTGATACAAATGATAATTCTTCAAGGAAATTTAAAAAAAAAAATCTTGAGTGGTGAAATGTTTTCTCTTGAATGCAGTGAGAAAGGAGAAACAGGTGGACAAAACAGAGGTTCGTTGCAAACAAAATTCTGTTATCTCTGTTTAGTATGAATTCTCTTCCAGATTAAAAATAAGATTAATATATATTCTGGAGATTGAAAAATTCCCTGAGGATGGGACAAATTCCAGCACATATTCAAAAGCTTAGAAGATAAACCTCTTGTCCTAGTAACTGACTCAGATTGGATCCTGGGACACATATATTTGCTTTCATTTGTGATTAATTGAACAGTACATTAATTTGAATTTTAATTCTTGAAGTTTACTTCATATATTGTATTAATCCTACATTGGTTGTGAGATGAAATGTGGGATGGGAGGGTTGCCAACAAAGAACCTTTTAAGAGTAGTTAATTATTTTTCTCAAATCAGCGTTTGCATTACAGTTAAACAGATTATAAATAATCAGCGGTGTAATTGTCTTATTGGCCATAAAGGAAATGAGGGGGAAAAGTTTGCCATAGCAAAATTGATGTTTTATTACACTCCAATGAACAGGTTTGATGCTAAAACAAGTAGATAACATTATTAATTTTTTTAAAAAATATTTCCTGGTTTCCATATTAGTGTGTGGATTTGATTATTATCTGGCAGCATTGTATGTTTTCTTTAAAAAAAAAACCTTTGCTTGAAATGCAGTGCTAGCATTATTTAACCAAGTATATCCCACCCTTCTTTCCATTTTCAAACTTACTACCTCTGTTTAAAAGATTAGAGTTTCTAAATACTCCTATTTTTCTTACTCTTTTTCAGTATGTGTCAGTAATCCTATTCATGCAGCTGCCCCATGAATTAAGGGATTATCAAATTTATGACGTAAATGGGTAACATAGGTTGTTTCTGTTCATATTTGGTTTGTTGACATCCAAAACTCAATAGGATATGAGGTAGGATATGTCACTACAAGATGCAACATGTGGCTGATAACTGGATGTGTTTATTGGTATAATACTTGCAAGCAGTTTAATTAGACACTTGTTTAATTAGATACTTATATAGTATTCCTTTTGGTGATATAGTATTCCCCACTGGATTATAGCACCTTGTGTTTTATCAATCTGAATAAGATTCAACTGCATATCAATCTGAATATATTTGGCTACATATCAATATTTATATTAAATATGTCACATATTAAATGGCAAAATGCACAGGCTTGCATTGCTAACCCTATTTTGATTTTACATATTCCAGATTTCTATAGGAATACTGCTTTGATTTTGTGAAAGAGTTTAGGTTTTATGCATATCAGATGGTTCTTGTAATTCTATCTTGAGTTGCTTAATGGCAACAACACCTCTTCAATACATATGTAAATTAACTTCTGTCTGTCCCACAAAAGAAGTTATACTTACTTCATGGCAGGTCAATGTCTTTATAATACACATGAAACCAAATTCAAAATAGATATCTGATGTCTTCTTGCCCCATCCAAATAAAACTCATCACATAAAGTGTGTACTGTATGTGTAGGTATATATAAATAAATAATTGTTGCAGTGTGTTCATCTGGCAAAGCAAATTCCAGTAACATTATCAATCTTGGGCAATGATATGATATAGAAGACTCTTATTTTATCCCTCTGGTAGAATTGTTCTTAAACAGACAGCCAACATTTCACCGAGTCATGTTTTATATTGCTTTTGACCTTTTCGAAATGGCTGCTCCAACATCTTTGTGGAATAGAAATGACTTTCTCCAGATAATTACTGGGTTGATCATGGCCTAGGTTTTTTTTTTATCTGTTCAGGTTGCTGTATCACCCCCATGGCCTTGGTCCTTTATTAAATGTATCCTTCTAGGAAAAAACTTTTTGCTGATAATTTCTGGGCAAATTTACAGGATATAGGCCTTTGAAACACTAATGAATGATTTGATAGTTTGTTTAGCTTTTGAGCTCTTCTGATAGAAGCATTTATTAAGCTACTTTCTTATTGGAGAGTAAATGGTCATAGCATTCCCATAGTCCTGTCTTTATCCTTCAGCAAGAATAAAGGATTTATAAATTGTGCTGAATGTGTTTCCCTATAGTACAAACAACAGCATGTATATATACACTCCTCCCTTTTCTTTATAGAACTGTGAATCTCACTGAAAGAAAACAAATCTTACTTTCTATTCAGGCCAAGCTGAAGGATAATTAAAACGGAAGGATTTTAGTGGAGAAAACAGTGCCATTTTCTTTTATCTTAGTGGTCTGGCTTAAACTATGACTTTGGGCACCATTGTTTTTGGAAAAACAATGTTCAGGAAGCTTGAATAAATACACCACTGAAAGACTGGATTTATTTTCCAAGAGACTTGCACAGGCTTGCATTGCTAACCCTATTTGATTTTACATATTCCGGATTTCTATAGGAATAAATATGGAACTAGAGACAACCCAATGTGAAAACCTGCAAGCAAATTATGTCCAAACTATGAAAATCAGTGGATACTTATAGCCAATTGGTATTAGGAGAATGTGTATCTAAGCAGCACTGTAGAATAGAAAGAGCTCTTTGAATTATCTGCAAATATCTTTCGTACACTACAGCTTTCTCACTACAATATTAGTTGATATTTAGCTTGCTGCCTACCTAAAATATATTCATCTTTCCTGATCAGGTATCTTCTAGATATGTTGAATTATAATCCTACAACCCAGTCAATGTAATTTTGGGAAATTATGGCAGTTATACTCAGGGGTGGGATACGACAGGGTTAACTACTGGTTCGGGATTTACGAGCTTCCCTGCCCGCTGTGATCCGCATGCCTGTTAATCGTCATTAGCACGCTGCCGAGAAGCAGCCTTTGAAACAGCCCCCATTTCTTGTTTTTTTAACTGTAGCTGTGGTTCGGCAGCTGAAGTTGAAAAATCAGGAAATAAAGATCAGGTAAGAGCCCGGGTGGGCGGGTGGGCAAAAACATCAGCAGACATAGAACCGGTTCTATGTCTGCTGCTATTCAGAGCTACCGGTTCTACAGAGGTGGACAGAACCGGTAGAAACCCACCCCTGGTTATACTCCACACATCAGGAGAATACTACATTGGAGAAAATATAAGTAGGCCTTTTTAATAAAAAGGGTCAACTGGTGAAACCTCACATGAAATGGGTTTAAACCTTGACACTTGGCAAAGTGCTTTCATATTCCTCTAATCAAAAAAGGGAAAGTATTATTAGCCACAGATCTACTGCTAACATCAACAACTAGAAAAAGATACGCATAACACTTCTATTGAAATTATTTAAATCAGTTGGATACGATCCAAAAATTGTTTTTAAAAAAACCCTTAACTTCATAATTCCCCTTCATTTAAAATAATTTTAATACTTTTGAAGAATATTCTGACCCTCATGAATGATGTTGGATCAACACTGATGATATAAAAATGCTGGGAAAAGGGACAACTGAATATAAATTTGAACTAATTAACATATCATTAATGAAAGAACAGAAAAGAGAACCAAGAAAAAAAGTTGCAGAAATATCTTAATCCTCCCAACTCTTTCCTACATACAGATGTGCTTACTTCATGTTCCTGCTTGACACTGTCATATTTTTCCCCTCAAATGTTAACCTTTTTAAAGATCAATTCCATCTTGAGATGAAATAATAATGGTCCAAAGGCTGAATATAGATATTTGCAAAGGTTGTCTGCATCTATCAATCGGCATGGAAGTGGCAATACAATAAGAATATCTCTTTAAAGTTATACACAATATACTGGACTGCAGTACAATACTTGAAAGTTAGAACAACAAGAACTGAAGAGGAAACCTGTTTAAGGTGCAACAATCTTATACACACTAACCTAAGTTCAAGTGCTGTGAACTAGCTAAACTCACTTTAGAGCAGGAATGAAAAATATTTTGCTATCAGACAGGAACTTTTTTGTGTACTCAGAAGGGCTGATTAGAGTAAGCTGACTTTTGATGGCCATCCTGTACGGTGGTTCTTTGAACTGAAAGCTTTGCCGTGTTTTGCATTGGATTCTATTTCATCATCATCAACACAATACAACTTGTACTGGTTGTCATAAAACGCACAGGATCCAAAATCACCCAGATGAGGGCTGTCATTGGATTGTGTCGACAACATGAGTCAATGCCTTTTTAGAGGCGAAGGCAATTGTTTCCCACATGGACCAAGGCTGCTTCCAAAGTATGTTTCGACATTCAAAACTATCCATGCTTTTTATTCTAAGCAGAAAAGTGAACGAGTTGGTACATAACCCTAGGAGTTGTTTCCCCAGATATTTCCATTTATTCTTTTGCTTTAGTAGTAAAGACAAGGGCAGTCAAACGAATCCTATGCCCCAAGTTTAAAAAAAAAACCCACTGACATCAGTTTCAAAGACTTCCACAAAGCGCCCACGAGCCTTCATGTCACCAAAAGGAAACATTTCTTACCTAAACTAACTCCCTTACAAATGCCACTTTTCTTCCGGGACAGAGAAACCAAGGCAGGATGAAACAGCTGCGCGTGGGGAATAAGGCTAAGGATCCCAGAGCAGAGCTACTACCTTCGCTGAGCCACGAGGCTCCGTAGGTGCCCTTGGGCCACGGAGGAGCCTGCAAAGGATGCTGCGGAGATAAAATCGTGGCCGGCGGAAGCGATCGAGAAGATTTTACCTTCAAGTGTTATTTGAGAGGTGTTAACAATCCCTTTGACCAAAGGGAAAAAAAACCCAAAAAACAAACCACAATTGAGGTAATTTACTTGAAGAAATAAGTAGCTAATGCATTTTTTCTCTCTTTAGGAAAAAAAAAAAGGAAGGCAAGGGAGCTAGAACTTGTAAAGCCCCCCCTCCCTCTCTCTCTCACACACACATAGCGAAGTCACATCTTCAGCCCCGGCAGCGTTTACCTCAAAGCGTCCGAGACTGGAGCTCTTCGAGCGCGATTTCTTGCGGAGATAGACCGAGAAAAACCTGCGCACCGTGAACTTCTTCATGTTGGTTTCCATCGCTAGGGCAAGCCGTTCGCCCCAAACGTTGAAGCCATCCGAGGAAGGAAAGGAAGAGGGCGCGTCTCCCTGAGCTGGGCACGGTCCTTTGGCGAAGTCATCCGGTCCCGGGGCGAGCGGAGCCCCGCCGAGACAGCCTTCGCCAGGCAAGGGAGGTGTGTGAGGCGATCAACTTACTGGCCGGGGCGGCTCTTTCCCCCGCCCGTGTTTACATTTCATCGCTGCATGCAAGCCCAACTCTCTTCCTCTCCGCCTTCTTTTCCCCCCCTCCGTCCCCCCCCTCCCCCCCTGTCTCCGCTCGCCTTGGTCCTCTCAACGCCCAATCGGAACCGGCTTTTTCTGCCTGCAGAAGCCGCTGGTTGTCCAGAGAGCTTTCCTTTTAGCCCCGCAGAGAGGCGAGGGAAGGTTAGAGGAGCCGCTTCAGGACATCCCCGGAACAGGACCGGGCTTGCCTCTGGCGTCCCTCGCTAAGCAGCCGGTCAATTTCCTGGCTTCTGGGATCGCGCGATAGAAGGGGGGGGGGGGGCGCCCCGTTGCCGCTCTCCGGCTTGACGTGGGTTGGGAACTGCAGCGCGGAGGGAGCTATAATTATCTTGGCCTGGGAAGAGATGAGCTCTCGCAAAGGAGATTCTCCTGGGAGATCCTCCAGGCAGGCAGGCGGGGCAGGTCGGCAGGCCGTTACCATCCGACGCTTTTTTCACTGCCGCTGCTCCGTCGGACGTCTCACTTGTTCAGACTTTCAGGGCAGATCGGAGCTTTCAGACCTTTTCCAGTCAAACGCGTTAAATTATTGCTTCAGGCATAGAACCCAATGTTCCCACGGGCACCTTCCTGTTGAGTTGGACTACGGTTCCTACAATCTCTGGTTTAACCCAGCCGTTGTCCGAGCTGGCTGAAAGTGGCCCCTAATTGTAGTATAGTAATGCACACTAGGTTTTATTTATTTATTTATTTATTTATTTGATTTATTTATTTATTTGATTTATTTGATTTATTTATTTATTTATTTATTTATTTTTTATTTGATTTGATTTGATTTGTCAATCGCTTCCAAAATAATAGGTATAAGTATAAACATGAGTTAAGAATACAGAAAATAGGTTACGATTCAATGGGGAACAATAGGGCAGGGACATGGTGCACTTATGCACTTATTACCGGTAGCATCCCAGCCCTTACAGACCTCTTGGGAATGGACAGGTCAATAGTGGATAGTTTGAAGTTAAAGGAGTGGGGGTTTGAGGATGTAACTACAGAGTCCGGTATAGTGCATTCCAGGCATTGGCCACTCTGTTGCTGAAATTGTCTTTCGTATTATAATTCTATTGTCAAGAACTAGGCAAAATTTATTTGTGTGTGTGTCTTTGGGTCAATGTTAAGTCCTATGGAGTTAACCAGTTTTAACTACTGGGACGTACCTGGAGTTTTCTTGGCAAGATTTCAGAAGTGATTTGCCCTTCCTTCCTTCTTTCCTAGTGTTGAGAGGAGACTGGCCCATAGTCACCCAGTTGGCCTCACATTTAAAGCAGGACTAGAACTCACAGTAGCCTGGTTTTCAGCCTGGTGCTTTAACCATTACATATAGTTCTTGACTTACAATGACAACTAGGACCAGAATTTCCATTGCTAAGAGTCATTAAGTGAGTTGAGATTATACAACGTTTTTTTTTTGTTAAGCGAATCACTGCTGTTAAATGAGCCACATGGTCATTAAGCAAATCTGGCTTCCCCCTATATTCTTGCTTGCAGGAAGCCAGCTGGGATAATCGCAAATGGTAATCATATGAGCCTGGGCAATGCAACCATGATAAAAACATGCTGTTTGCCAGATGCCCAAATTTTGACCACATGGCCATGGGGATGCTGTGATAATTGTAAGTGCAAGGAACCGTCATAAGCAGGGGTGGGATTCAACCGGTGTAACTACCCGTTCAATGATTACACGCAGCTGACGTGCGCTGTGTGTGTGTGTGTGTGTGTGTAAAACGTCATAAGCTGTGCTGCCCGGACAGCTGATAGGCACTGTGCGTGGGTGCACAGCATTTGAAAAGCCTATTTTTTCCTGCTTTTTCAACCTCAGCTGTGCCTCGCAAAGCAACTTAGGTTGAAAAAGCAGGAAATAAAGGACAGGTAAGAGCCCAGGCAGGCGGGTGGGCCAAACAGCAGCAAACACAGAACTGGTTTGGTGCCTGCTGCTCTTCAGAGCTACCAACTCTATAAAGCCAGGCAAAACCGGTAGCATCCCAGCCCTGGTCATAAATCATTGTATGCCCTAATGATTTTTAAAATGTAAAGAAGTGCCTACTTGTTATCCTACGATGCTGTAATGTGGAATAAAAATGTTTGCCAATAAAGATCTCCTTTAGAAGGCCAATACCTAAGAATGTCAGCGAACATCTCCATAAACAAAACTGAGAAGCATATGTAATATTAATCATCTATCTATCTATATATATTTATCTAATAAGGTAATGGAATCTTCCTGAGGCTATTTCTGTGGCTAGATTCATAAGAATTTTGGTCTGCAGGGGACCAGTAAACTAATGGGGCTGGGCTCTTGGTTGCCAAAATACTTCTGAGGTACAAAATACTTCTGAGGTGCTTATTTCCTTCAAATGAACAGGTTTACTGAAGCCTATGCTACTAATTCTTCATGGAAACATCTATGGAGATTCTCAGTCATCCTGGTCATGGTTGTCCCAAAGGTGCTTTTTCAGGAGGCAGCTGGACTTTGCTTTTCTTTGAAGATGTTTCACTTCTCATTCAAGAAGCCTTGAGGCTTCTTGAATGACAAATGACATTGACAAATGTCTGTGGTCCCAGCAACTCTCTAAAAGAATGCAAATGACCAACTGTCTGCAAAGAATATAAATCTTTCGATTCACTACCATCCAGTCAGATCGGAAGAAGCTTTTTGGATGAGAAGCGAAACATCCTCAAAGAAAAACAAGAAAGTCCAGTTGCCTCTTGAGAAAGCACCTTTGGGTCCTCATGGAAACATTTCTCTTGACTGTATCTGAAGAAGGAATAATCTCTGTAGTGCTGTAGTAATTTCAGAGGAATTAATAAAGACCCCAGTTCTTTTTCTCAAGCAGTGGTTTAATTACACATATTCTTTTAACATTTCTCGTCAATGCTTACATTTCTTTTAAACATTGAACATTCCTGAGAGTATGACAGGGCCTTTTCTTCCTCCCACCCTGAAACTGAATTTCTCAGATGACTTTTTATTGCTCAGTTGGGATGGACCATCATGAGAAAAGCAAAAGCTTCTCCAGAAAAGCAGAAAAATACAGAGGTTTATAATCTTGTAAAAGTCCACTGTTATGGAATATAACACAGTATATATCCATTATGATTTTTATCTACTGTACTCAGAAGTTACAGTACTTTCTGCTTAGCTAGCAGTCGTTTAGGTTTACCCACTTAGCTTTTTTCCTCTTGAAAACGTGTCTATAATACTTGGAGAAGAACTTGCGAGTAAAGGTCTTCTTGACCTTTCTCTGCCTGGCTAGTTAAAATATATCAGGAGATGCTGGCTTCAGCTCTTAAGACAGGGATTAATGTCTCTTTGTGGAACAGAAATAATAAAAAAAATTACCACTGCCTTGTACCCACAGTTCAAAAGCATCCATTATTTTTCCTTATCACTCCTACCATTATTGCTAGCATCATCAGAAGTGTTCTATTATTTACATCTGGCCAATCTGCTGGGTTTTGTGCATGGAAACAGGCATGCAAGAAAAGGAGAAATGGAAATAATTCTCCGTGCTGCAGGTTAGACTTTGTACTTCACTTCTGGATTTCAAGGGGATGCTACCCCAAAAGGAAATAGACCACCACAATCCGCCTCTGCCTCTTACTTTACAAACTCAGAACAGAGCTATTAATTATGACATCCAGGGAAATTAGTTCTTTCCCCAATGTTGCTTTCCTGATATAAGTCCAATGCAGACTTACCCCTGCCTCAATTGTTTTTGTGTATCAGCATGTGGGGCACTAAGGCAGCAAGCACCATTCTTCTACAATCTATTTTAATAGGCTTTCTAGCCCAGGGGTCCACAATAATAAGCAAAGAGAGAAAATCTATGAGGTAAGATGGGAAAGTAAGAAATCGAGACAACCAGGTTATTTTGTTTGCTTTTTCAACAGATAACGCAGCCATTAGCTTTTCGGACTTGTTGACTTCACTTTCATTCTCCCAGTTTCCCATCTAATGTTTTGTTTCCGCTCTAGGGCAAAGTCACCATCTTATAGTTGTGCTGGTATTAGAGATTACCCGGCCACTGGAAGAGGACTTCATGTATGTATCTGGAGCACTGACATTGCCTTTTTTTGTGGAAAGAACAGATTGATTCTGCAAACTAAATTTAGTAGAAAATTTTCATATGGCATTTGTGCTTTTGAACAGTAGTGTTTAAATTCAAAGCATGCCTGTAGCCCGCTGAAAAATTCAGAGAGAAAGATGGCCAAAAAACCCAAACAAGGTCCATGTAATCTTAAAAATTAAGGTAGTGGTTTGCTACTGTCATAACATTCTTTGGGGACTTCAGTCTTTCCTTAGGTTTGGTATTACTTGGTTAGTGGAAGTTTCTTTGCCTTTTTTAAGATAACAGTCCAGAGTTCATTGGAGTCTGGCCACTAATAAATTTAAATAAATCAAATAATAACAATAACTTAAATAAATGAGGAACCAAAGAAAATGAAAGGGAACAAATCTTAGCCTCCCCATTTGTTACGAGCCTGGTTTAGATGTTGTTTGACCAGTGTTGGGATTCAAAAAAATTTTTACTACTGATTCTGTAGGTATGGCTTGGTGGGCATGGCAGGGGAAGGATACTGTAAAATCTCCAGTCAGAGGTGGTATTTGCCAGTTCTCCGAACTACTCAAAATTTCTGCTACCAGTTCTCCAGAACTGGTCAGAACCTGCTGAATACCCCCTCTGAGTTTGACTGCAGTATATCAGTAAATCCAACTGAATTCAGTGGAAACTACATCCTTACTAGATGGCTTTAAGGCAGCCATAATCTCTCAGAAGATGGCTGTTGCTCAGCCATGATCACCTTAGGTGGCTAGTTGATCTTGAAAAAGACAAACAGATTTGGATCTGATTAGTATTTCAGTGAGAGATTATCAGAAAATCCCCAAACTCTATGCTGATTTGTGAAAATCCCAAAAGAATGGCTACCCTTTATCAAG